TTCAACCTTACTATCAATGTTGTTGCAATATTCAGGCAAGTCCCTGGCAGTAGCACATCAACATTGATGCAATCTTACCTTATTCTTACTAAGATGGATATAATATGGCTGCAATGTTGATGTGTAAGATGTGCAATATTATACTAAGATTGTATTAGGGTTCTGGGGGGATTTCGTTCTGTCTCACGAAAATGTTCTGAGAATGTTTTGAGAATATTCTGGAATATTCTCACAACAATGTCAGAATATTTTGTATTTTCCTCGAAATATTATCTGAACGTTCACAGAATATTAGGATGCTAACTGAGTTTGCGGGTTTCAAAGAGTTATCTTACCCATCTGCACGCCCTGCAAGACCGATTCATCTACTTTACTGCTTCAAATCTACCGTAAAACTAATTTCGATCCTTTAGCCCATCATCATTCCACCATCCACCATCATCACCATACTCTCTCTGACTCTCCAAATTCATATTTTTATCACCGATGTGTCACAAGCAATAAGCGATCTTAGGCAATTCGAAATCGGCTCGCGAATGAACCACTAGAGAAGGTGCGAATTTAAGCATTTTGATACACGAGTATCTCCTTCAAAATTACACGCAGATCAAGATTTGCGCCATAAAAATGACTAAAGGGTCATTCCACGCCTAGGTAGTCCGGGGGGTACTTTTTTCTCTCCCTCGAAATGACCCAACGATATTTATTTTCGGACTCCTTAATACTCCTAGTTTTTGGAAATATATGGGGTTTACCTCCGTTTTGTTTTTTTTTCTCGCAATTTTTACGTGTTTTGTAACCCCGTTGCTTAGCTTCATCCTACTGTAAAAAGGCCCTAGTAGCAGCGTTATATAAAAATTACATAAAGTTAATGTAAAGAATGTATAAAGTGGTTAATTATATAAAAAAAAAAACATAATATCGCACAATATAGCATATAAGAATGTGTTGAAGAATTATTGACACTAAAAAAACCGTAAATGTTATTTAAAAAAAACATACAAAAAAGGAATAATTTTTGTAAGCAAACATATATAAATTTTAAAGTTTTTTTATATAATATTCATATTATTTTTAAATCAATATTAATTGAAACATTAGCATAAGGATTACTTAATTTGCATATAATTTTTAGATAATGAAAATAGGAAAAAAAAAAGAAATTTATGTAAGGAATTACTTTTAAATTTTTAAAAAAATTTACGTAATATTCATACACATTTTAAACCAATATTAATTGAAATTGTGGCGTAAAAATTACGCAATTTCCAAATAAATTTCATGTAAATATGACCTGAAAAAATGAAAAAAATTTATCCGGGTGAAAAGATATAAAGTTTAAGAATTTTTTTATGTTCATATATTTTTTAGATGGATGTCAATTGAAATATTAGCAAAAAATTACGTCTTTTCCGAATAACATTTAGGTGAATAAAACATGAAAAAAATAATTTATGACATTAACTCTTCCTATTCTTTTCCTTTTTATTTATTCATTACAAATTTTTTACCTACACAAGAAATTATGAGGAAGATGAAAATGGAAACTAGGCCTAAAATATTATCAAAATAATACTTACCATTGCGTCGGCCTCCTATGGTGTAGTGGTTGTAGCGCTTGCTCTATGATCGGGAGGTCCCGGGTTCGATTCCCGGCCAGTCGACCCGAGTTTGATGGTCTCAAACAATTGTTGCCTGGGACTGGTTCAGTAGGGACGGAGGGGGGATGGGACTTAAAGCGTAGGATTAGCCCTTGAGGGCTATTTGAAATAGTAAAAAAAAAAAAAAAAAAAAAAAAAAAAAAAAAAAAAAAAAAATTACGTCCGTTTTACTTAATATTTAAGTAATTTTCATGTACTTTTTACAAAAATTTTATTTATCTATCATAACGAAATTATGACATTCACTCCTCCTGTTCTCTTCCTTTTTACTTAATTATCACCTATTTTTTACGTAAAGAGGATTTCATCAAGCAGATAAAAATGAAAACTAGGCCTTAAATTTTATGTGAACATCATTTAATTTTTATTTACAGGTTATTTACAACTTACTTAATGACGAATTTTTTTTTTTTTTTTTTTTTAAATAATTTTTATATAACGCTGCTACTAGGGGTTTGACAGTTTGGTAGCAATGTTTTCTGGTGTTCCCGCCAAAACCAAGTTTCTGGTTATGTTTTCAGTTGTCAAGAAACTGATTCAATGTGCTCCTGCAAAGTTTCAATTTTTAAAAGTAATCTCTGTGTATTATATGTAACTTTTAAAACTAATTTAATTATTATTATAAGTATCTAAATGTTTATCTGATTATTTTTAATTTTTTCACCTTTTTATTTTGAGTTTTGTATCTTTTGATTTTCAATTTTTTCACGTTTAATTTTTTCTTTTTTTGTAGGTATTCAATTTTTTTCGCTTTTTATTCCCCATCTTTCTATGACAAAAAAAGCTGAGCCGCTTTTCATGCGTACGTCACTATCTTTGTTCTCATTGGTTGATCGATTAGCCAGTCAGGAAATATCATTGCTGGCTGCCTTGCCTTAGGTTTCCTGGCAACCTCCTATTTAAACTTGTGGAAATTCGTTGTTTTTGAATGAAGCGGGATCAGGGCTGGATTAACCGTAGAGGCAAAGTGGGCCTGTGCCCACAGCGGCAAATTTTCGGGGGTGGCAGAAATCGAGAAACCAAAAAAAAAAATGCCGCCCCTGAAAATTTGACCGGAACAAATAACTTAAATTAGAGAGAAGAGGCCGTCCATAACATTACGTCACTCGCCTGGGGTGGAGGGGGGGGGATCAAGAAATCGGACAAATAGGTGGTGTAATTTATGGACGGCCCAAAAGGCAAAGGCAGTCTCGTCAGCAGAAGAAGGGCTGTGTCGTACAGCGGCACTACTTTTTTCCGTGAACGTCTACACTTTTGTTTTTGTGTTTAAAACTTTTCAATTAGAGTTTACATCTTTAAAATCAAAGTCCGGATGTGATCCGAATCGAATATCACGAAAAAAGTCAAAAGCAAAGTCACAAAAGACGTTTATCCGTCGATGTATAGATATTGATATCGAACGCGGGTGGAATCACCTTAATTTTACCTCACTTTTTTTCAGTGTAACCTCGCCAATGGCTGCTCGTGTTGAGTTGTGAGACCCCCGTGTGGGAACTCGGTCAGGCAATCTAATTATACTTTTTCAATTACTTGTTTTTCATATTTCAATACAATGCAATAGACTAGTGCCCACGGGTTGGGGGCGTTACCTAGTGGGCGCGTCAGCAGGTGGCGGATAGCTGGATTCCCTATGTAGGTAGTGCCGTCGTGTAATACTTGTGTAGGGTAGCCTTGAATATACTGAATAAAAGGTCGCGGACCAAACGCTCCAAGCCCCAAATACCCAGCGTGTAAAGCGACCCGTGCGTTGGGAGTATGGCACCAGGGGCAAATGGTGCCTTAACGGAGCCCTGGGATACCGGGCGACCTCCCAGCGTATGTAGCCTTACCCTGGTAAGAGGCTCTGCTAGGGTGGACCACACCACTTCCTCACATCTCGTGGGACTCATATGGATAACATTCACTCTGAAACACCACAAAACCAGAACATCTCAGGGGAGAGTCGACCAGACTCAGACCTAGAGATGGTACTTCAGGGGAATGAGGAGAAGCAACACACTGCTACATCCTCAGAACTCTGCACAGGCGGGGGGCACGAAAATGCCGCACTGCAAGAATCCGAGGTGATGGAAGTCTCCTCTGAGACGGAGGAGAGGCTTTTGGGAGAACCGAAAGACTCAGCAACCTCAGAGGAAATTACCGGGGTGGCGGAAGCCAGAACCGGAGAGACCGAGCCAAAGGACAAAACGAAAAAGAGGAAACTTTCTGGAGCCCAAATCAAAAAGCGAAGAAGGGAAAGAAAACTGAGGGAGGAGCAGGAGAAGGCAGCGGAGGGGAAGTCAGCAATGACAACCAACCCGCAGACTTCAGCCGGCACCCCCACAGCTACCACCGGGGAGCAGGAAAAGGGAAAACCCCCCTCTAAACCTGCAAACTCGAATAAGAAATCTGGAGCGGCAAAGCGGAAACAGAAAAAAGCTGGTTCCTCGCAGCCGCAAAAAGATAGGTTAAGGGAGCTGCAGCTGAAAGGCCAAACCTCCAAGAGAGGGAGATCGGACAGCAGCACACCGGACTCTGCCAAGAACACTGTGCCAAACAAACGCTGGAAAGACCAACCAGGACCTTCGTTCTCTGGCGTAGTCACCAGCATTAAAATGGCAGTGGTACCGAAGGACTATCCAAAGAGCAGGCTCAGCGAAAAAGAAATGGAGCTGGTACAGCAGGCTCTTCTAGCAAGGATAGAACCAGACTCAGAAACTAAGCCACAATTTCAGGGAACCAAATTCGAGCAGGGAGCACTGATGCTGTACTGCAGAAACTTGGTTACCAAAATTTGGCTGCAGGATAAGACGGCTACTCTGGTACCCTGGGAAGGGGCAGAGCTGAAGGCGGTCCTTGCAAAGGACCTCATCGTAAGCTGCAGGGTCATCTTCGAAGCACCAGCAGAGTTGAAGAAGGCAAAGCCGTCCGAGATCTTGGAAAAGATCGAGGGACAGAACGGTGGACTTCTTACCAAAGACTGGAAAGTTATACACTCAAAGGAGACCACGAACGGTCAAACTTTGGTGTGCGTAGTGGACATGGCTTCGTTGGCAGTCCTGGAGGCGAGGAAGATGGTTATCTACATCGGATTCAACTCAGTGAGGCTAACGAACTTGGACAAAAAGAAAGCAGGGAATGAAGATCGTGCAGATCAATCTGCATAAAAGCAAGGCTGCGACAGCAAACCTTGTGAAAAACTTCCTCACTAAGAAACTGGACATTGCACTCATCCAGGAACCCTGGACCATCAAAGGGAAACCTGCAGGATTCGGTGGGGCTGGCGCTGACTTAGTCTATGACTTGTCAGGAGAAAACAGACCCAGAACCTGCATATTAGTGAGGAAGGGAATAAACTCTATGCCGCTAAGAAACCTCATAACTGCAGATCTAACAGCGGTGAAGGTGAATGTAAAAAGAGAAGGGGAGGACAGGGCGAGGGAGTTTATACTTGCATCGTCCTACCTCCCCTACGAATTAGAACCACCAACAGCGGAACTTCAGAGGCTGGTAGACTATGCAACGAGAGGGAGGAGCAGACTGATCGTAGGAACAGACGCAAACTCCCACCACGTCGCATGGGGCAGCACAGACACAAATGGTAGAGGTAACCAACTACTTGAATTTATAAGCAGCCTTAATTTAAATGTTTTGAATTTAGGTAACGAACCAACCGTTGTGACTAGAAACAGGAGTGAGGTCATAGACATCACAATTGCATCTAGCAACGCAGAGGATAAAACACTGGGGGTAAAAGACTGGAGGGTGGCTAAGGAGCTGGTCTCCTTGTCAGACCACCGGTATATCACCTTCAAGCTGAATGTAGAGGCCAAAAGCACATACTTCTACAGGAATCCTAGACGTACTGACTGGGACCTTTATCGAAAAGAGCTCATCAGGAGACTAGGAGAAGTAGAATTGAGGTACGGCAACATTCAGGAGCTAAATGCAGCAGCCCTCGCCGTAGAGGGGGTCATCACATCAGCATATCACAACAGCTGTCCAGAGATCAAGAGAAGGGAACCAACACTGGAATGGTGGAGCCCTAAATTGGGCGAACTAAGACAGGAAACGAGGAAACTCTGGAATAAAGCGAGAAGAGATGGAAGTTGGGACGAATACTACACATCACTAAACGCTTACAACAGCTCCCGCCCGGCAAAGCAACGTTGCAAAAACGTTGCGGCAACATTGCCAATTATCTGGTAATGTTTCCTGGCAAAGTGTTGACAAGGTTGTGGCAAACAGAATTTTGTCTCACGGGCCGCAACGTATCCTGGCAACGTTTCTGCAATGTTTCACAGTAATGTTACCATGTCATTGCTGAGTAACATGTCGGATATATTATCCTGGCACTTTTTATAAAGATTACACAGAAACGCTATCATAACGTTACTTGAATTATTGAGGCAGTTTTAACCGGGACCAACTTTACGATTACCCACCCTCTCACCCGGCAAGGCAACATAGCCAATTACATGGATGCGTTTCTGGGCAACATAATGGCAATGTGACAAATTGTGGCAAAAAATGTGCCGTATGGATGCCACCTTTAAGTTGATGTAAATTTTGACATGTTTGGAGAAATGTGAAACCGTAACAAATTGGACCGAAAAAGATAAAAAAAAGAAGCATGTGAAAGTCAAGATAATTAGGTAACCCAGCCTTTCCTTTTAAGCTGACTTTCTTAACCATTAAATTCTGCACAAAAGATCCTAGTGGGACTTGTAATTGATACTCTAAGTCTGAAAATTCAAATTGAGCGGGGAAAAAAATTATTAAATCAAGTACATTAACACTTAAACAACAATCAGTGTTCCATAATCAAGACTAAACTTTCTTCAGGGCCAAGAATAACCATAACAAAAGAGGATACTGCTAGTAATACCACATTAGAATACAGAGGGAAGTAAACTTTTTAATAGGCTCCCGAATGAACTAAAGAGTATGATAAAAAACATTTTAAAATTTATTTTTAAAATATATATTTTATTATTTTTTCTTCTCAGACAAGAAAAAGCACAGTAATTTCCAAGAGATATGGTTCAAAAGTTCTTCTAAAAAGAGGAGAGCAAGACAGGAGAGGCCGCATACATTTGACAGCTAAACTAGGATTAATGGCCTCAAGATCAGCCTCCGAGGCTGTTTCTCTAACTTTTCTAATACTGATCAACTGTCATCAATAAATTTATTTGATTGAACCAAGGACAAAGATTTACTATTATACAATGAAAAGATAGAATATACAATTTTTTACAATATAATGTTCAAACCTAACAAATTTTACACTCCATTTCTCTACTTCTAACAATTTTTGACTTGTTTTACACAACCTTAAAAAAGAAAGCTCAGAACAGAGATGCTTAATTGTTGATTGTAAAAAAGTCAGTTTCGAAAGTACAAAAAAAAGGAAGGCAATTTCTCAATGCATATCCCATGTAGCATTTGGATTTCAAGATTAAGTAAGGGAAAAGTAAACGTAAAGTAAGCTTGAGGTAAGCTTAAAGTAATGGTGAATTCACATTTACTTCACGATTAAGTGATCCTTAATCAATTTTGAGTAAAACTGTCACTTTTTTTAAGAAGGATTTTAAGTCATCGTTACTTGAGGTTTATTAAATCAGTTTTACCAAATGATTACCTAACGATTTACTGTACATTAAGTAACACTTATATAATTCTGAGGTGTCCATTTCTGGACCAAAATTTAAGCTAATATTTATATCGCCACTTTCCGGCCAAAGTATCGCAAGCTCCATGCGAGGTTTAAAAATTTCTGCTGCCATTTTATTATTTTATAGAGAAATCTTTGAATCTGTTTGAACATTTCACTGATTTTTATCAGCAGCACTAAGAAAATTTAGTGAAATTTTTGGACAGCTTTGTCGAACAATTTCTCTGTAAAAAAATCAAATGGCGGCGGAAATTTGTGAACATCACAAGGATCTTGTGATACTTTGGCCGAAAGGTGACGATTTATTCATGCATTGATTATCAATTGAAGCTTACATCACTTCAGAGCCGAAAAGTTCCATTTGCTCCTTTCTTATCTTCTTTTTCTTAATAATACTGCAGCTTTAGTGTCGGAACGAGGCCTGTTAGCTGCAATACTTTATGGTGAAATTTAACAGGGTGATATACACCACCCGTTTCAGGCTTATTTCTCAGAATAAATTCGTACCTACATCCTTCAGACTCTTGGAGCCAACAAACCGAAGGGAAAAAATGCAGAATTGATTCAATTACAAGGGCATTAGGTAATTTCATTTAATTTATTGACAGTTTCCTGTGGCAAAATAGCATGCAAAAGGAAAATATAATAGATATGACTCACCAAATTCAACTGATCCTTCATCAAAAATAAAACCTGAAGAAAAACACCAATGATGCTAATCATGATACTTTGAACACAGCACTTTCACTTTCATTTATTTTCTCCTTTAGAATAGAGCAATGCATATTAAAGGTAACTAATCGAACTTCACACCACTTCAAATTTCTTAAAAAATTTCCGGTCAGACATAAAATTTTTAGGAAAACAATAGCTGCTAAGTACTTATGTTTATTTTCTCTGAACACACTTCAACTTCTTTTGATGATGTTGCTTTGAGGCGATTCATGGTGAATTTCTCAAAACCAGATGATTTTTAGTCGCTGCTAATTTCCTATCGGATGACTGCTCAGATGAGAAACTGACAGCCATGTCATAGAATAGTAGCCGCTTTCTTAATCCAGAATGTAAGAAATCCAGAAAGAGGGAGCAAGCTGGAGTGCAGGAAGCCCTTCAAAAACCTGAAAAACAGACAAATAAACAGCATTATACAAGGCATGGTGACAGTTCGATGAGGTGACTTGTGACTGTTTAGCTCTTAGATTTTATTCATACTTGACGTGCAAATTTTATCCGTTGAAAAAAAAATTACCTAGATCTCCAGCTGTTTCATTTAAGTAGAATGAAATTTTAAAATAATCATAAAATTGCAGTTCTTTCAAAAACTATAAATCGGTGTAACTTCTCAATTGGTAATACCAGAGATTTTTTCCAGAACTCTCTTGAAACTGAGGATTTTAATTTTTTGCCCTGTCTAATGTAGAAAACAGGTACCTAAGTGAGGTACAGGTAAGAGGAACACTTACCAAAACCGAGTTGCCAACAATTTATTTTCAACCCGTTTCAGCAAATATTTAAACTGAGAAAAAGTAGGCATCTGAAATCGGACTTTAATTATCTTCTTTTCTCCCCCTCCAGTCAAACACAACAATTGAAATTGTTACATCATTAACACATATCTCTTTGCAAATTGACCTTACAAGTTCCCAAAATTTAGGTTAGTGCAATGTAACATGATTTTTCTCATTTATTGTGCTCTTGGAAAAAACAAACATACTGCTTACCGCACTCTAGTTCATTTGTGTAATAATGCCCTAGCATTCAGTACAAGTGAAACGGAGCCTGAGAGACGATAAACTGGCTCCCTCTGAACGCTTGGATACTTTCATATCTTGGTCCTTACACGCAGTTTAATGAAATGCTATTCCGATGTGATGATTGATCATGCTTAATTTTTACGGCAATCTACATTGCCGTGGNTTCGAAGAAGAAATAAGGAAAAATCAAGAGGACAAGTTCAAATCAAATTTCCGTTTGCCGCCATGGATTCCCGCGCTCATTTACACACTCACACAAACGCGCAGCGCCGAACCTAGCTTCACTTTTTCCCCGTGCTTTTAGATACGAGCACTCCGTCTTTATGTCTTTGTTTTACATTCACTGAGAGAATTAGAAGAGGTTATGTGTTGGATCAACCTAATGAAAACGTACCAGGTAGAGTGGGTAATAAAAATAATAGAGAACGGGACATATCATCACTCCTAGGACAAATGGACGCAACTTTGTATTGTACTGAGCCATAATGTTCATATAACTTGGTGCGTACTTGCAGAGCGAGTTTGTGTGAAAATGGAGGTATGACCTAATAATAAAGAAGCGATGAGATGTTTTAATAGCGAGATGAGCTTGGCCCAACTTATTGAGTGGGACATTGGTCAAATCGGGACGAAGGTCTAAATTTGCGCACCTTTCTGCCGTGATGGCGAAGAGAGCCATAAGGGCGAAATTTCGGTATCCGACTCCTCCGCCATTTTGAACGGAAAAAGTGCAGTGATACCAACCCATGAAACGTGAATGACACTAGAATTGCATTAATCGCAAATAAGCGGTAAAATGGCGATTTTACGGAAACGGAAAACGGAAGAAATGACACTAGAATTGCATTAATCGCAAATAATCGGTAAAATGGCGATTTTACGGAAACTGAAAACGAGAGAATTGATTTTTTAGAGGGAAAAAATGAGATATAAATTAATTTAATCTAATCTAACCTAACCTAACCTAACCTAACCTAACCTAACCTAACCTAACCTAACCTAACCTAACCTAACTCACCCGAGTATTGCCTTACGTAGCCCAACCTAAGGTAACTTACCTGACGTAACGTAACGTAACCTAACCTACAGGACTACAAGTTAGGTCACTTCGCGACCTAACTTGTGGGCCTGTAGGTTAGGTTACGTTACGTTACGTCAGGTAAGTTACCTTAGGTTGGGCTACTCAGGCTTGTGGAAATTGGGTCTACGTAGCGATTACGGTTAAAAACATCGGATTTTCTTCTTTCACCCCACACCCCATTTGATGGAAAAAAAACCACATTTATAAGGAAAAATATTTAGCTATATTCTGAAAAGCAAGAAATACACAATAAGTCAAGATTATCCGTCACAGGTGTCATTGTGAGTGTGACGCGGGCGACGGCAGTGACCCGCGTTTCCGCGCCCCGCGTTCGAATCTCCCGCGCCCTAGTGAAAAACATGTTAAGTTGGTACCACTGAATGGCTTCTCCGCCGTGGATCCCTAACCTTCCAATGTAAACAAGGTGGAGTCGGATACCGAAATTCTGCCGCCATAAGCGCATTTCTGCATGAGCCATGATTAGCACATGATTTTATTTGTCCTGAGGTTTATCCCAGCCTGCACTTATCGCTCTCTTCGCTATCACTGCAGTGTTGTCTCATGAGAGTAATAGAGACTTCCAACTTGTGAGACAAAAGTATTTCATGGTTTCCAGTGAGTCCTAAACGATACCTGCCCTCTCCATGTTTTCCAGAACGACTTTTCTTCTCATAATAATGACACTGTGACAGGTATGTCATTTCATGTGAGGAAGTGAGAACAGAAATTTCGTTGCTGGAGGGAGGAAGATCTCAGTTGATTTAGATCATTAATTTTGGGTAGGGTCTGTCGATCTACATTTCCTGGATGATATACTAACAAAATTTAAGTACTTACATTTATTTTGGAGGCTGCATTAGAAGAGAGACTGGAAAAATAGACCAACATCGTCTCTGGCTGTAACAACGAGGTAACGGCTGGCTAACGGAGTAACCAAACGGCGGAATTGTAGGTTAGGTTAGGTCGTGAGTTTTGGAGGGAAACTACGAAGCACACTGTCGTACTTACCCGAAAAGTTCCGGAAGAAGCCGAATCGTATGATCGTATGGTTACGGCGCGGCTCACGTTTTCAAATAAATTAAACCATATTTTAAAGATAAAACTTTCTTCAAGCACGAGCAGATCATCCGAAAACGCGAAAATCTAAAGAAAGGCACCCACACAGGCTAATTTTTTCTTGACAAAGAAATTTTCTTTAATTAAAATTAATATTTTTTTTTTCATCTAAAGAAACATCAATGAGACCAATTTTTTCTAAATTTAAATAAAATACTTCATTTCAGTTACACTCAATTTCTTTGACTCAAAAATATGTTTCACTGAGGGAAAAAAATCTTCGTCGAGAATAGGATAAGATCGAAAGAGTTGATACGTCGCTGCCAAAGGTCGCTGCATTACAGGAAGATTGACTCGGACTGCCCGTATCGGTGCATAAACAGTGCCCCTTCAAGGGCCTTTGCGGCAACATTATATACAATCGGTCCTTCTTCCAATGTCCACACGGCTAGAATAAGAAAATCTACGTTCGACAGCGAGTAACTTTTTATGGACGCGTGCTGTGACACTTGGAAACGTTTACGTAATAAAGTTCTTACACATTACTGAAATGTTAATTTACAATATTATTTGGAAACATATTTAATAAACATTGTTACAATTTTAAATTAAAATATGTTTTTGAAAAATTATTGTATTATATTTCTGCAGTGTTTTTTATGAATATGGTAATAACATTACTTATTCACGTTTTAATAATATTGCGTTAAATATTATCGTAACATTATCATGAAATATTACTCAAGTATGTTGCGTTGCAAGGTTTTTGTAATGTTTCTTGTAATTATTTTTAAAACATTGTCAGAAAATGTTATAAGACAACGTTGCAAATACATTATCAACACATTGCTGAAAAATATTACTGTGAAATGTTGCGTGAAACATTTCCATGAAACATTGCCAAAACGTCAACATTGCCGGCTTGCCGGGCGGGTGGAGTGCATGATCATCTTATTGAGGTTATAAACAAACAAAGAAAGAGAAGAAAACGCACATGAAGAAATATTTCCTATCGAAAAGAATACAATGAAATTTTACTCGCCGACTTCAAAATCAGTGTTTCATTTCTTTCGCAGGCCAAATGACATCGAAAGAGGCAATTTTTCAACTCGACGCTTTGCTGAGAAGTATAATTTAGGCGACCCCATCGCGGTCAGCTTTTCCCTTTGTGAATGGGTCAAGCTCCAACCAACGACAACATCGGAGCCTTCGGAAGTGACGACTTTCAATTTGAACCTATAATACTGAGACCTGACTACGAGAGATCTTTTTAGCTACTCTTCTATTGATGATCTGCGATCTTAAAAAATAAAAAAAATAAAAAAAAAAACTTGTAAGACTTGGTATCTGAGTAGTATATCTGTGAATTTAAGCAGATCTCTTTCTAAATCACAAATTAAAGCACCCTCTGAATTGAATCTGTGAGAACGAATTTGCACCAACTCGGTACTCGAAAATGATGAATTTTCATTAAAGACTGTCAATTTTCAAAAAAGTCATAGAAGTTAGCGCTTCTGCTCCCCCTTTGACCTTTAACGCGTCCTTACGTACTTGTCTTTCGGCGGCACCGAAAATATTCTTCTTATAGATTAACTTGTTCACCCAGGATGCAGTTTTGTGCGTGTCTAGATTATTTTCAGATTTTCGAGTTTGTGTGTTTTCGTTTTGACTGATTCAATTGTGCGAATATGCTCGAAAAAGCTCGGTGATCGAATTGGGTAAATTGTCTTGGATTCTATACAGGAAGGTCTCTCCTTTAAATTCTTTTTTGCTATTTTTTACCTTTAAATAAACCTGAGGTACTTGGAAACAGTTTCAGTACAGCTCTAACTTTCAAAATTCGAATCACATATTCACTGAATTATAGAGAAAATTTTTCAAAGTACAAATGCGTCAATTCAGGGAAAGCTTGGTGTGAGAGAGGGTGTGTAAGGGTGTGTATGTGGGGAGGGAGGCAAAATCGTCGGGAGGAGGAATAAATTGCTTAGAGAAGGATCCTAAAAAATCTCCGTCAATACCCTAAAAGTTATCAAATAGCTCTCCAAATTTGACCCCAAAAAAATTAAAAAAAATAAAAAATTGTCACGTTATGTTCCTTCTCTTTCTTCAAATTATGCCCATAAATCAAACTAATTAAATGAATGCAACCAGCTCATCAGCCTAACATCAATCATATGTGCGGTGGAGAATCATTGAGTTGAACGCAGCCAAATCCTCGAGCAAACTATATAGTACGTATAATTTGCACATTTATACGAAAACAAGAGAATCGCCGAGCTCAAAGAAATACACACGTATATATGAACACGACTGGGAAATAACGTGTTGATCAGGTTTGATGTGAAATACATTTGAAAATATAAAAAATTTTGAGAATCGACATTTGAACAATATTCTTCTCCTACAAGCATATGACCTAGGCACTGATTTTCTTATTGAAATGATGAAGAGGGAAGGGGGGTGTCAGACATAAAAACGGGAAGTAACTCTCATGAGATTGAAATTTGAGCTTTTAGCATCTTGTCAGTAATTTTTGAGAAAAGGTCAAATCATTGAAATAGTCGAAGAAAATGATAAATGATCGGAATTTTAGATTATCTCACTCTGTATAAAAATTAACAATATTTAGTTTATTTAGAATTTCCATTTCATTGTTCAGAATGCACCGATCATCCTTACATTGAATCACGAAGCATGTCTAGTTTTAATGTTGATTTTTTATAATTTGAATTCAGCCCGAAATTATTTTTAGGATGGGTTTAAAAATTGCCTCCATATTCATTGACATTTGTTTGAATGTCTCATTCCGATTAGGCTAATTTAGGTAAAACTATTTTCGACAAAATGTACATACATTTATAATTTTTTTGTTTTTTTGTTTGAGTCGCATACATTTTGAAAATTCAAAGCTTTGTGTGACTAAGTGTTAAGAATACTTTTTTAAAAATAAATATTGCAATATATATAATGTGATTTTTAATAATATATTGCACTTCTATTCACAAAATCTGTTCTGATTTTGGTTGGGTTTCCTTCAAAATCGCTTTCGTGATTATTGAATACCCAATTCATATTATGGAAGACAGTTAGGAAGAGAAATTGTGTCAATGAGGTCATGAAATAAACTTGATTAAATAATTAGTTTCTTCTCGACTGCTCTATCTAAATAGTTAAATGTCAAGTTCCTATTTGTCTTGAGGACATGCTATCCGAAGATAGGCACTTGTCTCACAAGAAATGATTTGTTTCCCTCGCATTAATGCACCACAACCCACATAGAATGAAAATATCTTATTAAGTATATCTGAATATCAATTTCTTACTCTAAATTAGGCATAATAAGTTTACTCAGTAGGCCCCGAGACATTCACAAACGCAAAATCTACAGCGATGGGGTCTCCTAATTTATATGAAGTAGCTAATTTGCGGGTTGAAAATTTTGTTCTGTTTTGAATCGCTCCCCTGAAACAAAGATATAACACGCAGGAGATTAGTTTTTATGTAAAAATGAGCACACGAAAAAAAATACCAGCTTCGATTATCAGTAAAGCGCTAAGGATTTAAGAGTTTAACGAGGGTATTGAATCTAAACCCTTTTTACACGCACTAGATCCGCGTTTCCNTAACATATGCAGCATGCATATGGTGGGAAAAAACGGAGCAAAAGGGAGCTCGGAATAAGCTGGACTCGCTGCAAAGACTGGCATGCTTGTACACGACAGGAGCAGTGAGAACAACTCCAACAGCGGCAATGGAGGTGATGCTAGGCCTGCCACCCCTGCACCTAGCAGTGAAGGGGGAGGCAGTAGCAGGAGCCTTTAGGCTGAAAACCAACAGCTTAGATGGCAAACTGCGGCCAAGACACCAGTCACTCTGTGAGAGTCCAAGCTTCCCTCCGGCTTTACACATGGTCTCTGATCAAATGAAAACAACGTACAACTTCGACATTCCATACAGGCTCGCATCAGCGAAGGCGAGGGGAACCAGAAAATGGTAGACGATGCCCTGGCTGCCTCGGAAGTTAGCTACTTCACTGACGGATCTAAGTCAGGAGATAAGACAGGAGCAGCGGTGTACGGAAACAAAAACTGCAAACTGAAGGCGAGTCTCGGCAGGAGCACCACGGTGAACCAGGCGGAGCTATACGCCATAATGATGGCAGCGAATAACGCTATAGACAAAGGCTGGAGAGACAAAAGGATCACATTTTTCTCGGACAGCCAAGCAACTCTAAAAGCGGTATCAAACTTCAAGGTCAATTCAAAATTGACCATGGAGGGCATACAGAGGCTCACAAGACTGGCCAACGACAACCACGTCACATTGGTGTGGGTTCGTGGGCACACGGGTGTGAGGGGGAACGAAACTGCTGACCGCTTAGCTAAGGAGGCATCAGAGGAAAATTACATCGGACCAGAACCAGTGTTTGGACTGACCAAAAAAGGATTCAGAACAACAGTGAGGGACTGGGTGATGGAAGAGGCGAACAAAGAGTGGCAGAATGCCGAAGGCATGAGACATTCCAAGCAAATGCTGGAAGGCTACTCAAGGAAAATGACTGCAAATCTGTTGCATCGTAGCAGGGAGCAGCTAGGTATACTGTCGGGATTACTGACAGGACACAATCTCCTGCGGAAACACATGCACAGGATGGGTATCTTCAAGGATGAACCAAAGTGTAGGCTGTGTGAGGTAGAAGAGGAAACTGCAGAGCATATCATCTTCGACTGTGAAGCTCTGGAAAAGAAAAGACAGGACATCCGAGGAGATAACTCCTGGGATGACTGTCTAGCACCTGAGTTAGTTGCGGGCACTCTCCTCCAACTTGTTGAAGGGGAGGGCTTCTGGGACTAACCAGGAACCAACAACTGGGCACAATAGATCGAGAGGTCGCAGTGCATGGGGCAACCCACCAGAAAAAGGAAAAAAAAAAAAAAATAGACTAGTGTCAGTAGAGTGGTGCCTGACATCCCGTTACACAAATAAGTTTATTATTTAAAATCATCTAAAATTATGTTCTTGATTAAACAATAAACCCATAGTAAAACTTGGATTAAAAACTAAAAAAATTACAGCCTCATTTTTGGAAATTTTTAAGTAAAAAATGGGCTAAAATTGCATCTTACAGCGGTCAGATTTTCCAAATTTTTCGGTCGGGAGGGGGCGCCGCTCCCCCTCCGGCCATCCCTCCGGGGCGGCAAATTTCCGCGTGTCCACGGCGGCAAAATCGTTAATCCAGCCCTGAGCGGGATGTAGGTATGACGGTACATCGGAACAAAACATGACGGAAGGGGATAACATGGGATGGATCGGGATGTAATCGATTAAGACTAGGTGTTTTGGTATAGATCAGGATAGAACGGAATGTAAAGGGATTAAATGGGATACACCGACATTTACCGGGAAACAGAGGATCATCGGAATAAAACGAATGAGAATTAGGATAAATCTGGATTAAGGATGCATATCCTCGAATCGGGATGAATTTGGATACTTCACGGTACAATATAGGACAATATATCGATGGTGAAAGTGCAGAAGTGCGCATCTCGGAAAAAGACGATTTTCCAGGAGAGGAAAACGACTGTCTACATTCCTCCTTATTGTCATTAGAGGGGTAGGTAATAATAATACTTGAAGATAGCAGGTTTAAGATGATTTTTCAGACTCCATCACCATTTTGAATTTTTTCCCGAACTGTTAGAAAATGCAGCAGAAATGCCGAGATTCGCGTTTTCGGCACTGAGAAAAAAGTTCTATAGTACAGACATCTCCATCAACATATTTATGCAGCTAACACAATTAACTATCATAAATCGAGATACGCACTTCTGCACTTTCACCATCGATATGATGGATCGCGATGAGAACAACGGGATACATGGATATATACCGGGGATGAAAATGCAGAAATCTGAATAAACCGTGAAATATCAGGATAAATCTGGATAAGCTGGGATACATTGCATTGAAATGAGCTGAACTATGATAAATCGGGATACATTGCAGTACGTGGGTACATCAGGGCGAAACGTGACGGATCGGAATGAAACGGAATGAAACGGGATGGATCGGGATGCAATCAAACACCGCATATCATAATGATTATGATTCGATAGCTGAGAAAGTGGATCGATATATTGTGGACACTAGCTCTTTTGTTTTGCGCTCACACTTCAGGTAGACGGATGCCACCATGCCACATGCGACGAGCCACCACTACGGTTTAAATTTTTGCATCTAAAAGGTCAATTTTGGATAGAAATTTAGGTCTTGAGTTAAATACCATTGCTAATAGTATAGAAATCTATGCGGTCAATAGCATTCTTCGATGTTTGCTGATGAAATCCAATTTCATAAGTTAACTTGGCCGCACCATCACATTCCCTCAAAATTTTTGAATTTGCCGCCTAAATCAGACTACCGCTACCTTGCAGAACTGCGCGTATAGCGCCGCGCCGTGCCGCCTCCGTTCCTGCTGCGATCTTTAGGGAGGGGTTATTTGGGCCGTGGGATTCAATGAGTCACACACGGGATATTTTCCCACCTAAGGGGGATTTTTCGGTTTTGCCGGCGTAGGTAGTTGACAATACTTGTATTTTACCGAAAAAATGTGCAGTGACGTCATCGGCATTCTTTGTTTTTGCATTAGCTGCGGAGCCGTCGAATTCGGCCTAAAACGGCGATTTTTCATTCGTGAAGTTTGTGCACATTGTTGAGTGCTCCTTTTGGATCATTATGCTGTAAATTGTTCTAAAAAGTAGACTTGTTATCCTACATTTTGGCCTCTTGAAAAAAATAATTTCGAAATTTCCTCAGCATGATTTGAGAATCCTAACCTGCTTGGGGCTCAATGAGTTATTTTTGGAGGGGTCAAAATGAGCCACTCACCAAGGTTACGATTTTAACTGGTTTTCTCAATTATATTTGTTTTCAGCAGAGATCATTACCAGAAATTTTATCAGAAAAAAGAAGGTTCCAAGAATTCCCTGCTAAAAATGACCATGTTCGTAACAAATTGACCTGGCCCAACATGGTAGCATCAGGGTGAATGGAACCTGTTATAATATATGATATCAGCATGTTATCACCATGATATCAACGTTTTTCCAATGTGATTATAAGCGCACGGTAGAGCGCTAGATTATAAGTGCACGGTAGAGCGCTATAGACGGCAATAAAGAAACCTTAAAACAAGACTGAAGCAACAAAAGAAACCTAAGTGTATGATTAGATGTATCGGTTGAAATTGAAGGCTGACTATAATACGTAGCGCGTGTGCTTATAAATACGAAAATCAACTTAATATCGCAATTATTGGGCCAAAATCGTAAGATTATACGCTCTACCACCTTAACCAGTGATCAAAACCCCAGAACACCATTTATGAATCGATGCGTAATGGATTCCCATTGTGCCTTTTCGCAATTACAACTTTCAAAAGTTTCTCTGTAAGAAGTTATTTGCTTTCCAAAATTTTGAAGGATCGGGAGCATCGATGTATCGATCAATCGAATTTTTCTAACTCGATCTCTCATGAAATATCGATCAATCGATAGTAATCGATTTCAATTCGACCAATGACTGGTTCCATGCCGGTCCGTCGCAAAAAGTCAACAAAAATGCGTGGCGATAAATAAAAGATAATTGCCGATGTAAGCTTGCTTCGAAGTGATTATGGATGCTTTTAAAATTTTATTAACGAAGTCAACTGAATAATCTGCTGCAGACGGACCAAATTACCCTAAATGATGAACCAAAGAGAAACAAAGTAGAATACTTCTCATGAAAACTTTCTAGGTAAGTTGTAAACATATATCTTAGAAGAACTCTTATTTATTTCATCAGTTATTCTTATCGCGCTAGGTACTTACTAAGTATTTATCCCTAAATTAATTCAAGTATCATTGCCATGTGATATTGTCTATTGGGTACCTTCGAAGTTCCTGGTTTGCAAAGATACCTACAGCTTCGGTGGTAAATGTCGATCGGAAGATCGACACCACAGATCGGAACTGTATTCAGCCCAATGTACCTATTGAAATTGGAATTAAGGAGATCAGAAATACATTCTATGTGCACATCTTTCAATCTAATTTGGTTCATCAAACCAACTAGATACACCCAGCCATGGTTGCATCATGTATTCTGTTTTATTGATTATATTTTTTATATTTCAGATACAGATTGAAAGTTAACGCGCATTTCCGTATGTCTCGCTTGATTTTTGCAGCCCAAAAGGAAGTGTGACTTGGTGTAAACTCATCTATTCATAGGAAAATTCTTTACTTCTACTTGAAAGTTGCGTTGAGCGAGGTAATGAGTATTTAAATCATTCTCTACTACTGATGGTGAAACTACAATAACTTGGAGCTCCACTGATGTTTCTCAAAATTTACTATCTTCCTTATTGGATGTATTTATGCTAAATGGAAATATGTGCAAGTGGAAAGATAGGGTGTGCTCGTGGAGGCTGAATTTGAAACAATTAGACATATTTCTATCAAACGGAACTATGTGCATTATAAAGTGAGCCCTGTTGTGCATGTACTCTTATGGGTATCAGGGCTCATGCCTTCATGCACATAGTTCCGTTTGATAGAAATACATCCAATTTAAAAGTGGACATAGTTCCTTTTGAGAAAATGGAAAAGCAGGATTTGACATTAAATCAAAAGGAACTGAACGCTAACTTGTGAGCCGTTGACATGTGACAAGAGTGTTGTGGACAGGGCTCATGAGTGAAAGTGCCCCAAGAACAAGCGACAAGCTTGTCCTGCTCGGTTGTCACCGCTGACGTCACTGGCACTTAAAATCCCCATTCATTCTTATGGCCCTCAACTAACGAGCACACCCCATCTTTCCACTTCCACACAGTTCCATTTAGCATAAATACTTCCTATTAGTTGAATATAGACTGATTAAGTGGCTAGACGTCATTCTTGCGAATGGTTCAAACCAAAACAATGGATGACAACCTCATACCTAAATTCTGTGTGAGATTAGTGTGTTAAGTAGTCGATTGAAATTGTGTTATCAGCAAGTCATAAATCCATTTGGTCACAAGAAAATCAGACGCACTCTGACCACAGTGCGACTACGACAAGGTTATGCGTCTGTTTATGATTGAACCATCGAAACTGCGATGACTTAGTCATTAAAGCAGTCTATTATTAGGGATTTTTTTATAACATTTTCAGAGGTCATTTTTAAAAATGCAAAGAGAGCTCATAAAAAATTCTGTTCGATGACAGTATTAATTGAACGCATTTTTGTCAAACGGAACTATGTTCATTATGACATGAGCCCTGTACGATTTTGACTGTATCATGTATATATCTCTTGTATGTATCTATGGTTACGCACCACCACTTGTCTTTCTGATCCTCTCTCACGTTCATACACGCTCTTCTGATCCCGATAGATTTGTCCTTATTTCCTTCCCATTCCCCCCTTTTCCCTACAGTTTTGGTGACCCCGACGTGATTTGACCTTGTCTAGTGACGCGAGACTTGGGATTCATCGTCATCGTTCGTTTAAGTGCATTTTTGGTAACAGTTAACTTTGAAAACCTATAACCCTCATAACCTTCAAACCCATTTTTTATGAGTTTATTCGACGATTTTATCATCAGCTGAGTGCTCTCCGTGCGCGTCAACAGTCTAACCTCCGATCGCCGGTTTCGCGTTTCGAAATAGCGGAGTAAAACGAATCGCCATAGTAACACTTTCCGCTTTTGTCCGGGCTGTTAAGATGTTTCATCGTAGTATTGACTTGTGATTGTGCGATTATAAACGGCACCTGTGCTCCTGCTCTCTCAGCTGACATTTCTTCAGACTCTTTACCTCTCCTTT